CGCGCTATCAACGAAACAGCCGAGTCCTGCTCGTTGAAGATACGAGAGCATGTACGAAACGCTCGTGAATTTCAACGTGGTTCTCGACAAATCCCCGCAAATTTCGCATCTTTTCACGTGTTCGTTTTTTCACGAGGTTCTCTCGTCCGATCTCCCTGTCAGAATTGATCGATCAGAATGATGTTTCTGCAATCGTCCAATTATTCCAATTATCTCCGCGATAAATAAATCTAATAAATACCCTCTCTCGAGAATTTCAAATCGGCACGAGACTCAAATCTCGTTTCAACGAAATTTTCTGCACTGATATATTCCTGTGATCGATCGGAATTATGTTTCTCCACAATCGCTCAATTATTTCAGTTATTTTCGCGACAAATATCTTTTCATGAATTTAAAATTATCGCCGCGAGATCTAAATCTCGTTTCAAATCCGATTTTCAGGCCAATTTTCGCGATCACGCGACCAGAATTATGTTTCTCCGTGATCATTCGACTTTATTCCAGTTATTATCGCGATAAGTACCTCTTCATGAATTTTAAATCGACATTCGCGATTCGAATCCTCCCGTTTCAATGGAATTTTCCGACCGATTTCCACCGGTCGAACGGGAGTCGCGTTTCTCCGTAATCATTCAATAACTCTCCGGTTTGTTTTCGCGATAAATACCTTTTCATGAATTTCAAATCGGCACGGCGGTTCTCGTCGATATCGTTTATCATCGCTGCCGCGAAATCACGGCAAAAATACGAACTCGCGTTACGAGTCCATTACCTCCGTTAACATTTATTTTCGTATGATCTTCGCGGGAACGTGATCTACCCGTGACCTTCGTGATTGACAGTAAAATATACGATATGGAGATTTGTTCTGCTCGTTAGGAATGCAGCTAGAACAGGATATCTCCTCCTGCGGTGCGATGCAATTCGCACGCATCGGAGCGCTTCCTCCCCCGCGCTTTTCCTCCTTTTTCCTCCGCCGACGTGGAAGAAGGTGGAGCTACGCGACCCCCGACTTCCGCTCGTTGGGGATCGAACGAGCGGGCTCGTGCACACGTCGCTGGGATATAGGGTGTCTCGAAAAAAGCGTGCCACCTCGGCGCCTCAGTTGGTCTCGATTCCGATAGTCTTATTTGACGTCCGTTGAATGTTTGCGACGCAATACATTTTTTAATCGACGGAAAGAATGTTTCTCAAATTTCTTCGGGTGAAAATTTACTCCAAGTGTGAAACGACAGAGGCGGGTTCGACTCGAATTCGAGTCAACCTTCGTTCATGTTCAGGGTGAATTCTCCACTCGGGATCGTCGAGTGAACATTTTCACTCGAAATTTTAGAGAAAATCCGATGTATTTCTTAGGAAGGAATTCACTCTGATCGACTGAACATTCACTTTTATGGATTCAGAATACGCTCGAACCTTGAGGGAAACGTTCATTTTCATGATTTCGAGTAACACGAATTCTCATTCCTTTCGAGTAAGATTTGACTCGGAGAAATTTAATGAGTACGATCTCACTGTTCATTTCGCATCTCCAGCGTTCTATTTTCTATCGTTGCACTTGTTTAACAATGACAAGAATTAATCGGAGACTGTTCTTCAAGTTTCGCTTATTTACTATATTTTCATTGTCGAAATTTTCGAATAACGATTTATATTATGATTTGACAGTTTCGTGCATCTTTTATCCAAGTCTTCGACTTGTGACTAATGTCACACGTAGAACGTGTGAACTAAACTCAAATAAGACGTGACATCTCCTTCCGATACTTGGTTCTCCCTAATCGACATTCCATAGATAATCCATTATCTATACACCGAAAATATAGCTTTCCTGGGTTAACGTGTACGACGAGATTTGTTTGAGCAAACGAAAAGCCGAGGACCACGCGCGGCCTCGTACGTCTCCCTCCGCTTTTCCGTGTCCCTTTCGTTTTTCCGCACGATCGATACCGTCGTCGTAGAAGGATTTGCGGGGGTTCCTTGGTTCCGAAGTGCACGACGGCGTCTTTTCGCCGTAACCAGAATTCGTTTGGCATAAATGAACGTGTTCCAGCGTGCTTCAGAACTGTCGCCACTCCTTACACCCGCCAGTTCGTTCGATTAATCTGCTATCGACCGTACAATTTTTAGTACTCTCTCTCTCCTCCTCCCCCTCTGTCTGATTCCAATCCCCACATTTCAGATTCGGATTCAAATTATTGATCATCCGGAGTCCCGTACAAAGTATCGTTGTGTCCGCGCAGACTTTCTCGTTTCCGCGAGATTGATGGGAAAAAATTGTCTAAATTTTTAATCGCCCATTTATTGAAGAACGATATCGATAGGGACGTTTTCGCGACAAGAAGACAAAATATCAATCTCGTATTGATCGAGGGATTCTCCGTGAATGAGAGAGAGAGAGAGAGAGAGAGAGAGAGAGAGAGAGAGAGAGAGAGAGAGATCTCACGGCAGCGGCGCCTGCCTGGAGCTGCGGAGTTACGCACGGTTGTTTCTTTTTCTTTTTTTGTTTAACGATTCATTAATCAGCCGTGTTTTACTCGTCGTCGGCAGTAAATTCACGGAGTTTCCGTCGTGTCTATGATATTGAACTGAGCGGGATCATCGGATCGAGAAAGTTTCATAATATAACAACGGACGCGTCATAAATCATTATCGCGACGTTGCGCGCGGCGTGCGCGCTCGCTTTGTGACGCTACCAGCATTTTTGCGATACTGTATCGAACATTGTGTGACGTTCGCGTCATCGGTATAAAAAAAGATGAAATCCGTCATATAACCAAGCATGATAGCCACGAGGGTTTGTCGTCTCAAATAAAGCGCCCCGCTCGTGCGAAATGAGTTTCGCGCTTGGCATCGAGGCTAGAAATTATCGGCAACGTTACACCGCACGCGCTTCGCGTCTTTACCAGCGTTTTTCTTTTTGTTCGATGTCCCGTCGAATATCGTGACGTTCGCGTCGGTGGTGGTTGAACAAAAAAAGGGGGGAGGGGGGAAACAAGAGCGCTAACGCGTTGACGCGCGACGGCCACGAGGGTTTGTCGTCGCGAATAAAGCGCCGCTCGCGCGGAACGAGTTTCGCGCTCCTCGTCAACCGGGATGGAAAACACGGCTCTCGTTCCATTCGCCGGCAGCCCTTCGCTTTAATTCGAAGATTATCGGCTTCTCCCGATATTACCGCGGACAGATCGACGAGATAATTGAAGCCTGAAGGAATGATGGTCGCTGCTTTTCTCTTTTTTTTCCCCCCGAACACCCTGTTTATCATCGACAGTGGCGTCTCGCGAGCGCTAATTTTCTACCTCGCGTACATCATTATTCTCAAATTTAACCGTACATCGCCCACCGGACGCGGATGTGGGCGTGCGAGGAAGATCGCTCCGTTTCCTCAAGATTTGCATTTTATACATTTTGTAATACTATTCGATACATAATCGAAGTCTCGAAACTTCGGTGCAATCCGATACTCGACGACGATGTTCGAAAATTCGCGATCGAATTTGCGCGAAGCTCCGTGATATGCCGGAGCTGCTGACAGAACTAATTTTGGAGAGCGCAGACAGAATGCAATTAGAGAGTTTAATCCGCAGGAATCACACGTACGAATTATTCACATAAAAAAAACTATGTAAATCCCGCGTTTTCTCCCGCGACTCTCGCGGGTAGGAGGCTGGCTGCGACATTTCCCGCGCTCCTGGAAAATATCGTGTACATTTCCGACGATGAATTAATACGAACGGACGTGCGCGCGGGTGTGCGAGCAACTATCTTCTCGTTTAGCCGGCTATCGGGGGGAGGGGAGGGGGGAACGAGCTATACGGGTTTCCCGGGACGTCGTTTCGAGTTCTACGGCGGGTAGAGCCGGGGGATAAATCTCGTAACGCCGCGATCCAATAGCCGCCGTTATCCCCGGTCTGAGTGAATTTTCCGTAACTTCCGGCACTTTTCAATTTCGCCCGTCCGCATCGTGAAGACGACATTCGCTCTCTCCGCGACGATCTCTCGGATTTCAAGCTCTTTCGCGTCTCTCTCAAACGAGACTCTCGCCGCTCTCTTGGCACACGACGCGCGAAATCGCGCCCGTTATTAATGGACGTTTACGACATATTAGCGTTGCCAAATTACGCTCATTTCTCGCGGTCACGCGTTCTCTCGCGCGACATGCCATCCGCGTAGGCGAGAGCGACATTCGGAACGGCGGCACATTGTGTTCCGCGAAATTTGTTCGCATCTCTTCCTTTCGTTTCAGGTTTTTTCGCCGATTACCGTGCGATTTACGAGATAAAAATCACGGGACGTATTAATGAAGCGACGGCGGCTTTGCACGGCGGGAGTTTTAATCCGCTTTTCAACGCTTGAAATCCATCATCGATGTGCGTTAGAGCCGCGACGCACGTGTGTGTGTGTGTGTGGTGCTGCAGCGTAACTGCGCGCGGGGATTCGCCGCGCCACTCTCGCGTTCCATCCGCGATCTCTAATTAATTGCCATCAAACTGGCAAACCATACGCGTACTCGTTTTTAATTAACGTTCAACATCGCAGCCGGCAAGTCGAGGAATTTCTCGCTTTCGTATACGGCGGGAAAAAAACAAATTCCGGCGGTAAAATTTGAAACAGCTCATGGTGATGCGAAAGCGGAGAGAGAGAGAGAGAGAGAAATTTCAAATAATTGATTGCTTGTGAGAACCATTGCAATCTTCGGATGAAAATACAAAAGAGATATATTATTTGTAAATATATTTATTGTTAGAATAATCAAACAATCCTGTTTGTTGGATCAAACATTCATTTGTTTGCCCTATTCCAAGAGACAAACTTGTTTTAATTAATGAAATTTCATGAAATTCGTAGGAATTTTTTTCTACGTGTATGATTGCGAGATACTAGTAACCTAATTATATCGCGTGTTGAGCGTTACTCGTGGCGAACGACTCGTCGAAACTCGTCGTTCTTGCGAGTTTTCTCTTTGAAATCCTCGTAAATTCGCATTTTATGCGCAGGCGGTGGTGACAGCAACAAGGGAAAGAGTAAGAAATGGCGGAAGATACTTCAGTTCCCACACATTTCCCAGTGCATCGGCCTAAAAGATAAACTCGGTGAGTTTCGTGACGTCAGTGTCGTAATTGCGAATTCAAGTCGCGAAAATCCTCCCCCACTTTGAGCTTCGCAGCGTCGAGAGAGAGAGAGAGAGAGAGAGAGAGAGTGTGTGTCGCTGCTCGGTAAAAATAAACCGCGGGGGATGTGTCGAGTGAAAATGTTATCACGCGAGATATAACGCGATTGAAAATATTTCCCCCGATAAATCATATATCGTTCTCGATACGCATCGTTGGGAGGATGCAATCGAATTTAACGGGATCATACGGATAACGGAAGTTCGACAAAAACGATATTTCACGCAAAGCTATGCTGAAAGCGAGCTCTCTCGCGCTCGGTTATTGAATCTTGATGGAAAATAATTCTCGCGCGGGGCGGGACGTACGCGCGCGCGCGGTTGTTAAAAAAGCCGCAAATGGGGAGGAAACGAGACAATGCTCGTTGCGCGTCCCATTAACCTACTCTGATAACGCCTCCCCCCCGGCTTGAAATAATCAAAAGTCGCGAACAAATGCGTCTCTCTTACGGTCGCGAATGTGCCAGTAACGTACCGCGAACACATTTGCGAATTTATCGTACGGTATTTTACTTCGAGATATTGCGCTTTAAATCGTTCACCTTTTTTTTTATCACTTTTTCTCCGTTTTAAAGCTGTTGCCTTCTATTCATACCGTAACCGTAGGATTCTCCCGTCGCGAACGAACGATGATTATGGATGTACCATCCATGGTTCAAAATGACGGAGAAACGATGAAAAAGTTGCAAATTGGTCTACACTGCGCTCAAAAGCGGCATCGAAAGTTTGACGATAATTCTAACACTAAATCTACGAGTGACCTTCTTGATGCGCTGAAAATACGACGCTGATGGGTAATGCATCCTCTCAACGGTCGAATCGACGGTATCGCAATTCTCAGACGAGCGTTATCCCCATTTCACTTATCACGAAATCATTAATTCTACACGCGAGAGACTTTCGATTTCGCCGAGGAGAATCCGCGACCTGCTTCGGAAAAGCGAATCCACTAAGCGACGAAGCTACGGACGAATACAAATTTACGCGGGGAACATTCTCGCGCCACTCGTTTCGTTGAAGAGGGAAAAAAGGAGAGAAAAATTGTGATCGAGCCGATAAAAACAAGCTTAACCGGCGTTCGTAATGTTGGACAGACATCAGGTACAGCTATGTCGTGGATCAGCAACCGATCGGGCGGCTTCTATTCAGGCAGTTCTGCCAGGACAGGAAGCCGACCTACCACCGTTACAACCTCTTCCTGGACGCGATCGAGAAGTACGAGGTCGAGATGGACGAGAATCGCACTGAGCTGGCGAAGGAGCTGTTCGAGCAGTATCTGAAGAGGGAGGACTCCGAGGTGGTCGACATACTGAACGACTCTCTGATCTCGCAGTGCGAGGAGCGGCTCAGCACCGGCGGCAAGGAGCTGTTCGTCGAGGTGGCGCAGACGGTGAAGAACTTCCTGGCCGGCTTGCCGTTCTCGTCGTTCCTCAACAGCTTCTACTTTTACAGGTACGGAAACAGAGTCATCGCGACGGATCGCGGGCGATTTCACGCGTCCGCGATAGCGGCACGTAAGCGGTGCGCGCGCGTTAATTTCTTTTCACGAGTAAACGTTAAGTGGCCGGTAGAGGTTTTTCATTGTTGCGAGTAAATGAATATTTACCGCCTCGCCGAGGGAGCTTTCGACGTTGCGTTTAATATGTCCAATTTTTAGATCACCCGCTCTGTAATTTATATTAATATTAATTAGGAATTAATAGATTGGTGCAGTTAGGTAACTAAGTATATTAATGTTAATATTACCCTTTTCAAGAGTTAATTTTTGCAATTTCACCTATTAAGGGCCGTAATTATCTCACGAACATTGTTAATTGAAGCACTGGTCTGTTTATTTTCCTCAGAGGTCTCAGCGTGTTGGAACTGATTTTTGTTGTTGAAGGTATTGGTAGGAAATCGGTAATTGCTCAGTGGAAACGTACGGATAATAATGTGTCGATCGAGTGATTTTGCATTCCTTTGAATAAAGAAAGAAGCATAATTATAGAAGTATAAAGTCGTATAATTAGGCCGCTGGATAGGTTGAAAAAAATCAGGAAGAGAGATCTAAGAACGTCGAGATGGCGCGCGAGACGAGGCTTCTCGCCGAAGAGACGAGTCTTTTTCCTCTTCTTCTTCTCACCTCCCGCGCCTCCCCAGGTACCTCCAGTGGAAATGGTTAGAGGCGCAGCCGGTAACGTACAAGACCTTCCGGATGTACCGGGTGCTGGGCAAGGGCGGCTTCGGCGAGGTGTGCGCCTGCCAGGTGCGCGCCACCGGCAAGATGTACGCGTGCAAGAAACTGGAGAAGAAGCGGATCAAGAAGCGCAAAGGCGAGTCGATGGTGCTGATCGAGAAGAACATCCTGCAGAAGATCAACTCCAAGTTCGTCGTCTCGCTGGCCTATGCATACGAGACCAAGGACGCGCTCTGTCTCGTGCTGACTATCATGAACGGCGGCGACCTCAAGTTCCACATTTACAACATGGGCGGTGAGCCGGGTTTCGACATAAATCGCGCCCGATTCTACGCGGCCGAGGTCGTGTGCGGCCTGGAGCACCTTCACCTACAGGGTATCGTCTACAGGGACTGCAAGCCGGAGAACATACTGCTGGACGATCACGGTCACGTGCGGATATCCGACCTCGGTCTCGCCGTAGAGATCACGGAGGGCGATATGGTGCGCGGCCGGGTAGGCACGGTCGGCTACATGGCGCCCGAGGTAATCGACAACGAGAAGTACACCTTCTCGCCAGACTGGTTCAGCTTCGGCTGCCTGTTGTACGAGATGATCGAGGGCCAGGCGCCCTTCCGCGCCCGCAAGGAGAAGGTCAAGCGCGAGGAGGTCGACAGACGCGTAAAGGAGGATCAGGAGAGGTACTCGGCCAAGTTCAGCGAGGACGCCAAGAGTCTGTGCCAGCAGCTGCTGAAGAAGAGCCCGAAGAGCAGGCTCGGTTGCAAGTGCGGCCGGCATGGGGCGAGGGAGGTGAAGCTCCACGGCTTCTTCCAGTGCTTAAACTGGAAGAGGGTCGAGGCCGGTATGTGGGAACCGCCGTTTGTGCCGGATGTAAGTAGGTGACACGTTGTGATCGATTATCTTATCTACGTCGAGACTCGCACTTTCTCTCTCTCTCCCTCTCTCTGCCTTTATTCTCGTTTCGCCCGCTTTTTTCTCCCCCCTCTCTCCTTCTCTCTCTTTGACCTGTACACGCGAACCAAAAATAAGCGGCGGTCATCCGTTCCGTCTATTTTGCACTCCCGCATGAAACGAACCCCGACAATCGTCGCGCCAAGTTGATTTAATGAATTCGTAAACTTCGATCGATAGATTATATAGCACGTGTTCACCCTATCGATCAGATTATATATATATGTGTGCACAACGCGAGACGCGCGATGTCGCTTGATTAAATTAGCGTAAATCGCGAGAGATACCGCGTGACATTTTATTTTCGTTTCACACCTCTCGGAGGCGATGATTTTTCGTTCTCGCGTGATTCTCGCCCCGAAACGGCAAGCCCCCCCCCCCCCCNNNCGGTTCTTGTCGATCCTCAGCAACGTTGTTGTTGTCGATTCCCCGGCAGTTCTTAACGCCGAATCACTCCCGTTGTTCGCGCGTGGAATCATCGGACATTCAAGAACCGTGTCGGCGAAGGTGAAAGTCATTAACCAGCCACGTCGCTCGTTTTTTTTTCTGTTACAGCCTCGAGCGGTTTACGCTAAAGACGTCCTGGACATCGAGCAGTTCTCCACGGTGAAAGGTGTCAATTTGGACGCCACAGACGACACGTTCTATAGCAAATTCAACACCGGCAGTGTCTCCATTCCATGGCAGAACGAGGTAAGACGCGCCCGTCCGCGTCACACGTTCGCGTCGTAATCACCGATTGTGATTGGGACGCGCGACGCTCGGCGAGGCCTTTGACCCTGTCCGATAAAAATATCGATGCTCCCCCCCCCCCCCC